TCTATGCATATATGCTCTGAAAGACTCCCAACATTTGAGGAAAATACAAGGCAGAGAGAACTTGATCCCAAGTTACTTGTTTCAGCCCTACTGCACGTAGCCAGGTTTCTGCAGTGGTGCTTTAAAACAAACAAAATACAGTCATGTTGTACACAAAACATTCTCACTTAACATGAACATAGTTATGCTATGCTAGAAAGACAAAACCAAGGGATCACACTAGCTGACCTGTCATCTGCCAACTTAAATTCCCGTAAAAGACTATGACATTGTGTAACACTGTACTCACTTTGCCATCATTTTTATTTCTTGATCAAATTGCTGTTTCAAGTCCTGAACACTAACATCAACCATCTACAAAAGGAAGTATTTGACATTAGTATCGCTGGCCATATTAAAATGCACAGTTGTTCATTAAAAAAAATCAGAATTGCAAGTCTTTGTTTAGATTAGTTATATGTAACAACTACTTAACTTTACAATTTTTTTTTTTACTCAACTCAAAAATAAAGTATCAGAACATGATTTTTAATTCCATGGAACACAAGATTATTGGACAAATGGATCCCATTTCAGCACAGTCACCAACTTACCCATCTTATTTCACTGCAGTTACCCAAAAATAGCACTTACTCATCACAAAATTAATTATTCACACAAACCATTGGTTATGAAGACTAAAATTCTGTGGCAATACCTATTTAACTTGTGAATCGTTCATCTGATTCTGAAAGGGAGACCTCCCTAGCACCGTTTCCCTTCTGCCACTTCTTGTGTGCAGGGGAGGGAGGGGAACTGCGGGAGCACTCTGCTCTTCCAGACAGTTTGCCTGAGCCACTCTAAGGAGAGCTACAGAAAGGGCAAGACTTCATCTCTGGTGACTGTGCCAACTCACACCACTCATGGGACTACAGGATAAGGTTCTCAACCCAACTAATGTTTAACATGGCGACAGTTTTTGAAGTGTATCATTCAACGCTTTCCACAGATAAACAAAGTCTATACTATAAACTACACAGCCATTAAAAAGAAAAATGCCCAGGACAACTCACAGCAACGAGCTTCTTGACAGCCACATTTCTGCCATTGATGTAGCCTTTGAATACAACGCCAAAGCCACCTTCTCCCAGTTTATTACCTCCAGCTGATTCTGGTCGTGCATCAAAATTATTTGTAATGCTTTCCAAGTCATGAAACCAAAAATTATGGAAATCTGAAAGACATATTTGCCATTTAGCACAACTATGTTTTCACTTAAGAACAAGTGTATTGAATACATTCTCTGCTTCAGCTCTATTAAATCAAAAACATGCTACCATGCAAATCCTGACATAGTGGAGCCCTACTTCCAGCTTTGTGATGAAGATACCAGGAAAAAAAAATGAAATGCAGATAAACATATATAATTAGCTATGCATAATTTTCTTCGCAACTAGCTCTGTAGCAGCCTTCTGATTGTATTTTTTGTTAATACTCATAATACAAGTAATATAAATTCAATGCGCAGCAGATCACAGAGAGAGCCGCACTACGTCAGCTGTAAAAATGTATCTAGATCACATCATGTTTCTGGCAGCAATCCAAAAGCGGACTTTAGGACGGAAGAGACTAACCATTTACTTTCCTAGAATGCTTTCTTTAGTCATCTTTTCTCCAACATTCTTAGTCATTTCTGACACGTAAAATCCAGCTTTAAAACATAAGATGCTAAACAGTCTACAAAATCAGTACTGAAAGAGGGCAACAGGATTATGTGTAGCACAAAATTAAGTGCAATTTAATTAACAGTCAAGTTTTCCATCACAGTAGGCGCCTTATTGGCAAGATGGATCTCATATTCAGACATGTTATTATCCAAGCTAAATTCCCAGACACACAGAAAAAGAGCAAAATCAAGATGCCACTTCCCATAGATGCACGACGATAGGAATATAGTCATTACTCTAATGCACTGCTACGATTTATTTCACATGGGGTGAAGGATAGATCAGCAAAAAAGACTGCACATAATTCTACGAAACTAAATACCTACCTGTGTTACTAGACTGTGAGCTATCTTCTTGACTTAAGTAGGGAGGAGCTGAATGTTGCTTCTCAGTACTCTGAGCTAAAACAGGCTTTACAGATGCCACTTCTTTTTCCTGTACAGGCAGTTGTTTCTCATGTATAGGCAAGGTTTCCTGTGAAGAAAGAGGTAATGTAACTTCTTGTGCCATCCTTACAGCTTCTGAAAATGGAATTCAGAAAAAGTGTTAACTACATTAGGAATAAGAAAAAACAAGTAACATTAATGCCAGTATTTACTAAGATGGGAGACACGTAAGCATCATGAGAAGGTTATATTCTGCCACCATGTGTCAGCTGCAGGACTCTTATTTAAACTTGAAATTCTTATTTAAACTGTTATTACAAATAATGGAAAATATATCCACTTTTGGTTATTTTGACCTAATCCTTTCTGATTTTCAAGTTACTGTGAAGCTCTTTAGCATCTTAGAAAACTGAGAACACAGTACAAAATATACAAGAGTAACAGTTACCTGGAAGCAAAAGGCTTGCTGGTGCTAGGAATTGATTCCTAATCAGCAGATTCACAAGATCACCAACTGTACAGTTTGTCGTTCCCCAGTCATAAAGTAATTCACACGTGGGGCTCTTTCCCATTTGTACAAATGCCTCAAATCTCCTTAAAAGATAAATTAAGACGAACATTAGGAAAAAAAGTGACCTCGAGAACCATGAAGAACTGAAAGAGATTAAAGGTAAATGACCAAAAAAAATTAAAAAATGTACTGAACTGTAGAATTATTTGCAAGTCTTCTGAAAATGCACCTAAAGACCCTAAAGAAATTCAAACTCGGGGAAAAATATGCAAAATATGAGAAAAACTAAGGGAAAAATATGCATTCATGGCTTCAACATTTTGTCCAGGACCCATAATATATCAGCACATGGGACTAATAGAGAAGGGAAATGTCAGCAAGAGACAGAGGGCAAGTCAGAGCCAGATCAAATGGAAAAAAAAATTAAGTGTTTTCCATCCATTTGGCATTCACACTTCATTTTGAATATTAAGCAGAAATTGAGATCCATTATTCTGACTGATTTATTATTATAAACAAAGATTTAATGCTAACATCACTAGAAAGACTGGAAACCCATGATGATACGCAGAGTATTTAAAACTCATAACCTTTGAAATCGCTTAAGGATTCAACAAGCCCTTCAAGCAACAAGGTGCTCATAAAATACTGCTGTTAGTTTTAGGCCTTGGGCTCCGTACGTTTGTTGGACATTTTCTTGGGAACACTGAATTAGGAGTTACAGTCCAGTTGTTTCTTGTGCTGTTCTTGTGTGAAGATGCACGACGAAGTCAACGTTTACTAGTCTCTAGGGTACAGAAGTTACACAGCCAATGCTGTATCGCTAAAAATACATATGTCTGTGGCCCTAATGAATTCTAATTTCCTTAGTCAATTTTCCTTGGCTATAGCTTGTCTGAAAACTGAACTATGGAACAATTAAGAGTAACTACCTTGAGTTCCCTAAGGAAATGGTACTGTAAGATGAGTTCTTAAGTACCTGTCGGCACACAAACTGCAACAAGTTACAGTCATGGGATGGAAAACGGTATTTATGTTAAAGAGTTAATAAACAAGATTATGTTACATGACTTCTGTGTAGGACCTTATATGCATTTGGTTGTATCTGCTTTCACCGGAGGGATCGGTTATATCAACTGCCAATTTCTTCCACCCTTCCTGCGGATCGATGAAATCTGCCAGCTGCCTCATGAGCCCGTAGCTAATGCAGCGGACGTACGTTGAAGTCGTTACGGGCTTGTTCATCTTCGGCTCCTAAGGAACACAACCGGCGCCGTTACCGAAGAGGCTCGCGGGGGTTGCGACAAGCCAGTCACGCGTCACACCCGACACCGCAGCTGCTTCGCGCCCCCCCCCACCGCCGCCGGCCCCCGCCCCCC